CTGAGTAACTGCGGTCCTCAGTCTGAAGATCGTGGGCCACCTTAAAGAGCCATCAGCACTACATAGCCTCCATAGAAAAGTGACTTTGGAGTCAAGAACTTTAAAGTCACGACCTACATTTTTCAATTAGTGTTGTCGCCTTGCAGATACCACTGCTCTTCCGTGAAGGGAAGTGTACATACATCGGCAGTGGAGAAGTTATCTGTGGGAAAAGTAGACGCAGCTGGAAATGACCATGTCAAAGCAAAACAAAAGCGCCCATCAATTCCATAGACAAGGCATAAGTTGACCTTAAAGCATGGACTCCTTGATGTTTTCATTTCCTCCATCTACTTTTGTTACAGGTGGGTGCTTTCTCACTGCATTCGCATTCAAATTCTCATTCGCTTTTCAATTTAAACTTTTTCGATTCCCTTGTCTACTATCATGGATATCTTTATTTCCAAATTTCCTTAATTATCACCTTTTCACACCTTTGCACTCCTCTGCTTCTCCACCTGTGCACATGACCCAGTACAGCGGACAGAGTCCTCCTCTTCTTTTGGCGTCTGTCCTCAGCCCAGCGTTTAAAAGCGTCCTCATTACCGACGTATACGATTGTGCAATGAAGGGCTACAAGGCCACCTACAAGCCTGGTACATGGTCGCCAGACCGATTGAGTGCTTACATGGTTGAAGGTGTTGTGGACGACAGATATTTTCGTTTGAGCTTATTTCGACCGCATACCTCCTTCATGGGGAAAGGCATAAATCATCCAAACACAATCAACACCCAACAGGCAGGCACCTGATTTGGTGAAATGATTGGATTAATCAAAAAGTGATACGAAGAAAATTCAGATCACAAAACCTTCTCAATAGCACTAGTGATCTACGATCTGCGAGGAGATAAGAAACTTTCATGAGAATAAGAAGCGCAGTGAATCGCTTAATCCCATACAGTTTCTAGAGGCGCACCATTTTTAAAGCCTCTTTCCAACAGACAGACGACAAAAGACATTTCCTAGCCCCTTTAGACAGCCAGGCAGAAGGGCACCGACTATCTCCTGAAGTCGGAAGCAGCCATAATGTTAGTGTCGAAAGTGGCATGGCCCGGATGTCATGTCGTTCATGGCGGTGTCTTAAGTGGCTACGTCATAAACAAACAAAATTCACCATTTCCTATACTGTGTGCATAGTCATTGAATATAAGTACCAAACACTGGCTATGACAGTGGTTCGTAATGACTTTCAAGGAGAGAGCTCTATATCCCAAATAATAAGCACTTGGTCCATTTCTTTATTTGGCAGAGGACATATTAACGCTAAAAGTAACCTCATCTTTGCCAAGGCTTTGGAAGTAATACTCGACGCTAATCCACAATCGTGCAGCAGGCTAACTGTTGTATGTGTTTGCAAAGCCTCATATGAAAATTCCTGTCAAAGGTGTTATATTTGACGTCCCATTCCTTGACCCAAATTACCACTACCAAATTTGGTGGTAAACTTATTATCCTCATTATGAGTATCGGCATATTTGCTCACAAATCCTTCGTGGTGGTACTAAAGGCGAGCCCTCATAACGCTATGGTCAGTCAGTGTGCTGTGGACTTCGGCTCGGCCCATGCTGCTGAGGACCTCTTGAGCGGTATCTCCATGATTAACAAGTAGTGTATGTGGAGTCCTCAGCTAGTAGTGACCCTTGCACCATTCGTTCATGGAGAGTTTACAAGCTGTTGTAGCATCAAGGTGATACTATGCATTGAAAAAATGAAATCATGTTAATTTTTAAAAAAACGATTGCCCATTAGTACTTAGAAGGCAGTGAAAAAGTGAGTGATTTAAGCTTCGACGTTCTGACAAGGCCAATTATGGAGTGATTGCTGCATGCCTCTTTGATAGCTTCGAAGGCTGAAGCCAAGCTAGCAACTAGGTGAGTACACGAGGGATCCGATGATTGCTCATTAAAGTGTTTAGCAAAATAAAAATGATTAACAATGCACCAAAGATTGGGGTTTGATTAGGGTTAAATGATCAAGCCTAGGTCAGCACAATTCCAAGTTTGACCACATCGCATTTAACGGAGTCGAATGAAGGGAAGACGGTTTAATGTGCAAATTTGTCCACTACACATTTCAAATCGTCGTGCTCATGAACCGAGATTCCTCATCGCCATAGTGGAGCTGTACAGGGTCTCCAAATTTTTATATAAAAGTTTACACTTCTCCTTAGTGGCCTGCTGGTCGTCGTCCATCCACCTGATCATCGTTTCACACATCGTAAGTATATTTTGTCTAAACTGCGAGGTTAACTTTTGCTCTATTTCATCGTTCTCTAAGTTTTGTTTTTATGCTGTCTCTGCAGTTTTCTAACCTATTCTTGACTGCCATCCTGCTCCTCGCCTTCTCATCTTCCTGCTTCAATTTCTCCGCATCATTCACCATTCGCTCTATCTCCGCCTCTAATAGACAACCCTTGTTGGTGGTGACGATCATGCTGTTCTGCTTCCCCGACGACATTTCCACCGCTGACACATTGAGAATGCCATTTTCATCATAATATCAAAGGTGACCTCAATCTGAGGCACATGAACCAGTGCCGATGGAATTTCTGACAACGGGAACTCGTCCAGCCGGTTGTTGTTGTGCGTCAACGCATACTAACCCTCATATACCATCACCCAAGCTCTTGTTTGATTGTCATAACACGTGGTGAATATGTCCATCTGTTTTGTCGAGATTTGAGTGGTGCTATTTATCAACTTCGTCATCTCACTCCCAGTGAGAGCGGCGTCACTTCTAGCAACATCAAATCTTGCATCGTCTCCGACCCGTCACCAGTCAGATTGGCCGCCAGCAACGCAGCACCACATGACACTGGACATGTTTAACTTGCGGAAACTCCTACACCTTTGGAATGCTCATAGATCCACCCACCAACACTATCGCATGGACATCAGCCTTGCCCAACTTCGTATCACTCAGCGTCCTCTTTACCGGATCCAGCGTCATATTGAAGAGACCTAAGCACAACTGTTCAAAAGGATGCCCTCAAACTACAAGTACAGATAATAACAGAAAATTGGATGCATTATAAGCAAAGTAAAATAAGCATATAGCAAACAAAGCTGAGAAAGACTGGGCAATACTAGGGCCACCGTTTCTTGGTCACATGTAATGCGATAGCGGTTTATCCCTCGGTTCTGGTGAGGCGCCACTTTTGTTACTTCGAGCTAGCCCCCTTGTGCCTCGCTGGGTGGGCTGGCCTTTTGGGCCATGCCAATAGCCCAGACACCTTCTTCGTGCCAAATATATATATTCTGCACGAGTATTGTGTCTTCTTTCGTCTTCAGGGAGTCTCGGGACGCTACACCCACTTGTCAAGATACTCGATTTCATAGTTCAAACTCTTCTGGCTAACCTACCAGTAAATTTTAGAGACTTTTAGCTTTCCTTTCACAAGAGGCTACCAAATCTTAGTAAAGGAAAAATTATTTACAAAGACATTACTAATTTAATGCTTCTAATCTTACCCAGGGATGGTTATTTATGCTGATTGTTGCATCCTAAAATTGGTTGTTTAAATTGTCGATACCTGGATGACTCGTTCTTGCGGTAACAACGAATGGAATATATTTAGCACTAAAAAAGTGACGATTGCAAGCATTTTGATTCACTAATTCAGTGAGATAACATTCCCATTTTAATGGATTTTATTTGCTACCTAGAGCAATGAAAAGCTAAATCGCTATAATTTATCCCATGCTAGTCAGTCAATGATATTAACTGGTGATAGATAAGGACCCAACATTAACTTTGACTCGAAATGCACATATTTGTGTTTTGAGAATAAATCTCACCTTTAGTCATCAATGACAACTTAATCTCATGTTACACTTAAGAAACTAGACTATTTCCATGTGCTGCCTACAAAATAACCCCACATTGGAGATTGCTGCATAACTTACAGGCAATATCTTTATTGTGGAGGGTAATGCATTGCATGACTTAAGCTTCTGAGTAGAAGTAAAGGGCTTCCAAAGACAAATTTGCTAGAAGTGCTTGCAACCCCCTGATATCTCACTCCTTTTTCAATATTCAAGGCGTTCATTTCCCGAACCTAAAATTGCAGCAGTCTTGGCAATTCCAGCATGCATGAATCACATGCATTAGAAGTTTTGTTTTCTCCATTCTCATCAATTGGCTGCTCTCAGTGGAGCCTTAGCAGAATCCTGCATTGTAGTGCACAACGGGAAATGCTATGCAAATGTTGGATTTGCAGCACGTTTATGTTGGGTGAAATAAAACATAGGTTGTACTGATGACTGTGAATATGAGCATGCAAGTGTATTGTGCAGCCTAAAATATGCAGGATATATGTACTATTTGTTTGTACGTGTATCAACAACACATCCCCTGACGGTGCATTAAGGCAGTGTAAAAATTTCGTGAAAGGGCCACTGTTAATCCACATCCATTCAAGCATAGCCCATCGGTAGGCGCAGGGAGGCTGATGCATCCATGTTTGCTGAACGAGTAGATAGATGAGTGGATGCATAAGTAGATGGAAGGATAAGTTTGCAGACTGCTCAGTGGATGAAAACAAAGATGCGTCAATTCTATTATTAACAGAGCCTCGATGCGCAGTTAGAATAATTGTATAGTTTACCGGATAGGTACTTGAAAGGCCGCAGGACAGGTGCCTTGACCAAAGGAGCATTAATTTTCTGTAAGATTTACAGCATTCACCCCAAATATATAAAATGTTTTTTGTGTTAAAGTAGGTAATAAATTCAACACGTATTTAAACCTCTGCTAAGTCCAGATTACTTTGGATGCTATAAGTGGTTAGGAGAGAATACTGAGCATGGAGAAACTCCAAACTACGGCGGTATTTCTAGCTTGTACATGTTATCCCCATTAAAATCACCTTCTTAATGCTATTCTTTAATCACCCCAATTACATATCAGGCTATCAGTACATAAAAAGCTACGAATGTAGAATTTGCAGTGTTGGTGATAATTTGACTATTCTAGAAGCCACTTAAGGCTAGTTATTCCTGTAGCTAAAATAGCTGCCGGTTCGCGCAGAAAGGATAGCGACAATACAAACCCACACTGTAATGCATCCACTGCAATCTGACATGCATGTCATGTCTAATGACAGCTGCTACTACCACTGCAGTAACAATTGCAGGAAGAACTGGGAATTGAGGTCCCAAATACTCACATCACATAAGAGCCCAATTCCATACATCGAAATGTTATAGATGAGACAAGTACACCTCTAAATAATCAAAGGAATGAATAAAATAGAAGGGAGTTCATAAGGATTAGCGAGGAGGTGTTTAGAAATGATGAAAGTGGTGGATTTAATGCCCTAGTGATAAGGCTGAAAGGAAAAGGGAGAACTGATGCCAGAGTACCCACCAAGAAAAATCTCTGGTTCACGTCCGACCAGCGAGATTAAGCTAAGTCGCTCCGGCTTTTGTATTTAAATGGGTGATTGGCTGGAAATGCTTGAGGCTGCTGGCTCACCCCGCCACATTTCCTTCTCTGCAGTTTATATCAATCCTTCCAAATTCACTCTTCTTTAAAACAGTCAGTGGTTCTCACTATTCCAGTCGCGTCACATCGCGCTGCTTCCCGTAGCACTGCCTTGCAGTAGATGTCGGTCAGTAAATTTGATTGGTGAATGTCACTGAAAGTGGTGGTGGTGTTGATGGTATCTTCTGAAAATACACAAGTGCAATGACACTAATTTTCCAAGAAATATAGCAGCCAGATTTGCGTATACAGGTGCTTGTCCAATTACTTTGATGCACGTCATACGGGTTGGGAATTGCACAAGTAGAACTAAACAGGATAGTGAAGAAGTGAATTCTTCAATTTAGTGAAATAAAAGTGTGTGCAGTGTATGTATGTATGTCCATTTTTTGCAGATAATTAGTTAGACCTGTCAAAGTGAGCACCGAGGATGACTCGCAAGCCGAATGCCAATTGCTACGCTGTTTTGAATTATTTACCCCATTCATTCACGTCACTAACCATCAACCAGTGTACTTTGTTTGAAATACGGCAAAAATGTTCCTAGTTCAGCTGTGGATAAACTATCAAGTTGACAGTAAGATATGCTATTTGCTAACAGGAAATAATATCACAAGATATTCGATTGTAATTTCCGCTTTAGTATGTAGGCATTGTCCTGCATTATTATTATCATAAACAATTCATCCGATATCTTTGACTTGGACAAACCGGTGTCACCACTGACAGTACAGCTAGGGAATGAGTTAAAGTGTCTAAAATGTCAACCTACCAGCCTCATTAGGAACTGCAGTTCCTGTGCTGAGGGCGTATTTGGGATATAACCCCTCAATTTCGAAGCTCGGGTGAATTTGACAATTAGGACTGACGAGAATCGTGTTTCGGAAGTGACATTTTGGCCATTCGTCCTCTCTGTAAATGCATGATTTTCAACAGCCGCTTGCCAAAATCGCATTACGGTCTTGAGGGTAATCTTCATCTCCTAAAATTCCCACATCATTCATTTTAAAGGACGGAATACCAGGCCCTTTTATGGGCTTCCTAAAGCAATCTGTAAGTAGTGGATTTACCATTTTAACATTTAGTGAAATTAAAGGCCGAACTTACAGCTCTGGCGAATCAACATCTCGAAGTGCGACAATATAAAGAAGTTGGCTAGCCTGGAGACTGTGATGTAAATGGCGCCAATAAGCGCCCATCTGGCCAGTGGTGGTGATTGAGACAAGGCGATCAAACACCCACTAGTTTGATATTTTCAAAGACTTAGGTTTGCAGAATGAGTGTGTTGGCTGTGGTAAGAAGGAAGGAGAGGAGCATGCCATGGGTGTGCCGAGAAACAAGGCTCTCAAGATTGTTGATATCAGCGTGTGTGTCAACCCAGACAACGAAGGAAGTGGAGAAGGTCCTCAACTGACCCGCAATCGGCCATATTCCCAATCTGTGGCCGCCACCCAATGTAAGCCTCATGTCGTTCTCGCTCACACCTTTCGCGACAGTATTTCTGGTACAAGGTAGTTTCCACTACTGCCCGCTGGTTCTCGCAGTTCAAAATCACATTCAGTTTGAGATGCCTTGACTGAGTAATTTCTCCATAGTCATTCATTTTGGCATCTAGCATTTGGTATTAAAATGTTAGCAATATATAAATTTTGAGAAATCAGTTAAATAACAAAGACAGAGTATAGATTGTATTGTAAGAGTGTGACTAGCAGATTACTTGATTAATTACCTCAAGAGTTCCATAGGACTCTGTTCCCGAATCACCTTCCATCCATTCTGAACTCTATCCTCTGGTTGACCCCTGTGGAAAGTAAGTACAACGTTGAAGTGAACTTTTGGGTCATTCCTCTTGCACGTTTACATAGAGGTTGGTATGGCCAAAAGTGTGACCGTTTGCGCTGTACCAGGTCATGATTCTACCATCAGTGAAGGAGCTCCTTCCACAGTGGGACATACCACACGCAACAGAGGCGCTGAACGTGAAGCTGAAATATTTTGCCTATGAAGACTTGACATCATCAAAGGGTTTGGGATCACTGTGGTCCAAGACGAATATAGGTGGTATCCAAGCTTAACTAAATCCACGATGGTAAGTAGGATAACCACTCCTAAATGTTTATTAAGCCTTGAATTGAGCATTGAGGAGGAGACTAGGCGGGTAGCCTTACCGCATGCCTGCAACAATTACCATCGTATCCACCTCGAATCCTTAACTTCGTCTAGCCTTCTTACAGTCTTCTACAGGTGCCACTCGTCACTGTCCTCGAGCCATACAACCCGCGTGAGTTGCCGAGACTTCTACATGAAACACGGACAGTAGCAAAACATAGTGAAATTCTAACAACGGAGCAGCTGCTTTAGAGCCCTGAACTAGCATAACTTGTACAATTTAACCGATGACATTTTAAAAGAAATAAGTCAGCAGATTGTTCTAACAGCAAATTCACATCTCAAACATGAAAGCCTTTATATCTTGTCAAGACGTCACGCAAGTTTGAAAGGAGGCAAATCCGCTTCGATCTTATCATTGTTACATGTGAATGTCACATATCTCTACTCCTGTGCTTCATGTGTCAAGTCTCAAGCCACTTCCTATCCATTCGCTTCAAGAAAGTCCTATGTGTATTTTTAAATGTTTTGATTACCATGGCAGAAATGTGGCAGACCAGTTGAAATAGCCTTTCATCTATGGAGCACCCTGAGTAACTGCGGTCCTCAGTCTGAAGATCGTGGGCCACCTTAAAGAGCCATCAGCACTACATAGCCTCCATAGAAAAGTGACTTTGGAGTCAAGAACTTTAAAGTCACGACCTACATTTTTCAATTAGTGTTGTCGCCTTGCAGATACCACTGCTCTTCCGTGAAGGGAAGTGTACATACATCGGCAGTGGAGAAGTTATCTGTGGGAAAAGTAGACGCAGCTGGAAATGACCATGTCAAAGCAAAACAAAAGCGCCCATCAATTCCATAGACAAGGCATAAGTTGACCTTAAAGCATGGACTCCTTGATGTTTTCATTTCCTCCATCTACTTTTGTTACAGGTGGGTGCTTTCTCACTGCATTCGCATTCAAATTCTCATTCGCTTTTCAATTTAAACTTTTTCGATTCCCTTGTCTACTATCATGGATATCTTTATTTCCAAATTTCCTTAATTATCACCTTTTCACACCTTTGCACTCCTCTGCTTCTCCACCTGTGCACATGACCCAGTACAGCGGACAGAGTCCTCCTCTTCTTTTGGCGTCTGTCCTCAGCCCAGCGTTTAAAAGCGTCCTCATTACCGACGTATACGATTGTGCAATGAAGGGCTACAAGGCCACCTACAAGCCTGGTACATGGTCGCCAGACCGATTGAGTGCTTACATGGTTGAAGGTGTTGTGGACGACAGATATTTTCGTTTGAGCTTATTTCGACCGCATACCTCCTTCATGGGGAAAGGCATAAATCATCCAAACACAATCAACACCCAACAGGCAGGCACCTGATTTGGTGAAATGATTGGATTAATCAAAAAGTGATACGAAGAAAATTCAGATCACAAAACCTTCTCAATAGCACTAGTGATCTACGATCTGCGAGGAGATAAGAAACTTTCATGAGAATAAGAAGCGCAGTGAATCGCTTAATCCCATACAGTTTCTAGAGGCGCACCATTTTTAAAGCCTCTTTCCAACAGACAGACGACAAAAGACATTTCCTAGCCCCTTTAGACAGCCAGGCAGAAGGGCACCGACTATCTCCTGAAGTCGGAAGCAGCCATAATGTTAGTGTCGAAAGTGGCATGGCCCGGATGTCATGTCGTTCATGGCGGTGTCTTAAGTGGCTACGTCATAAACAAACAAAATTCACCATTTCCTATACTGTGTGCATAGTCATTGAATATAAGTACCAAACACTGGCTATGACAGTGGTTCGTAATGACTTTCAAGGAGAGAGCTCTATATCCCAAATAATAAGCACTTGGTCCATTTCTTTATTTGGCAGAGGACATATTAACGCTAAAAGTAACCTCATCTTTGCCAAGGCTTTGGAAGTAATACTCGACGCTAATCCACAATCGTGCAGCAGGCTAACTGTTGTATGTGTTTGCAAAGCCTCATATGAAAATTCCTGTCAAAGGTGTTATATTTGACGTCCCATTCCTTGACCCAAATTACCACTACCAAATTTGGTGGTAAACTTATTATCCTCATTATGAGTATCGGCATATTTGCTCACAAATCCTTCGTGGTGGTACTAAAGGCGAGCCCTCATAACGCTATGGTCAGTCAGTGTGCTGTGGACTTCGGCTCGGCCCATGCTGCTGAGGACCTCTTGAGCGGTATCTCCATGATTAACAAGTAGTGTATGTGGAGTCCTCAGCTAGTAGTGACCCTTGCACCATTCGTTCATGGAGAGTTTACAAGCTGTTGTAGCATCAAGGTGATACTATGCATTGAAAAAATGAAATCATGTTAATTTTTAAAAAAACGATTGCCCATTAGTACTTAGAAGGCAGTGAAAAAGTGAGTGATTTAAGCTTCGACGTTCTGACAAGGCCAATTATGGAGTGATTGCTGCATGCCTCTTTGATAGCTTCGAAGGCTGAAGCCAAGCTAGCAACTAGGTGAGTACACGAGGGATCCGATGATTGCTCATTAAAGTGTTTAGCAAAATAAAAATGATTAACAATGCACCAAAGATTGGGGTTTGATTAGGGTTAAATGATCAAGCCTAGGTCAGCACAATTCCAAGTTTGACCACATCGCATTTAACGGAGTCGAATGAAGGGAAGACGGTTTAATGTGCAAATTTGTCCACTACACATTTCAAATCGTCGTGCTCATGAACCGAGATTCCTCATCGCCATAGTGGAGCTGTACAGGGTCTCCAAATTTTTATATAAAAGTTTACACTTCTCCTTAGTGGCCTGCTGGTCGTCGTCCATCCACCTGATCATCGTTTCACACATCGTAAGTATATTTTGTCTAAACTGCGAGGTTAACTTTTGCTCTATTTCATCGTTCTCTAAGTTTTGTTTTTATGCTGTCTCTGCAGTTTTCTAACCTATTCTTGACTGCCATCCTGCTCCTCGCCTTCTCATCTTCCTGCTTCAATTTCTCCGCATCATTCACCATTCGCTCTATCTCCGCCTCTAATAGACAACCCTTGTTGGTGGTGACGATCATGCTGTTCTGCTTCCCCGACGACATTTCCACCGCTGACACATTGAGAATGCCATTTTCATCATAATATCAAAGGTGACCTCAATCTGAGGCACATGAACCAGTGCCGATGGAATTTCTGACAACGGGAACTCGTCCAGCCGGTTGTTGTTGTGCGTCAACGCATACTAACCCTCATATACCATCACCCAAGCTCTTGTTTGATTGTCATAACACGTGGTGAATATGTCCATCTGTTTTGTCGAGATTTGAGTGGTGCTATTTATCAACTTCGTCATCTCACTCCCAGTGAGAGCGGCGTCACTTCTAGCAACATCAAATCTTGCATCGTCTCCGACCCGTCACCAGTCAGATTGGCCGCCAGCAACGCAGCACCACATGACACTGGACATGTTTAACTTGCGGAAACTCCTACACCTTTGGAATGCTCATAGATCCACCCACCAACACTATCGCATGGACATCAGCCTTGCCCAACTTCGTATCACTCAGCGTCCTCTTTACCGGATCCAGCGTCATATTGAAGAGACCTAAGCACAACTGTTCAAAAGGATGCCCTCAAACTACAAGTACAGATAATAACAGAAAATTGGATGCATTATAAGCAAAGTAAAATAAGCATATAGCAAACAAAGCTGAGAAAGACTGGGCAATACTAGGGCCACCGTTTCTTGGTCACATGTAATGCGATAGCGGTTTATCCCTCGGTTCTGGTGAGGCGCCACTTTTGTTACTTCGAGCTAGCCCCCTTGTGCCTCGCTGGGTGGGCTGGCCTTTTGGGCCATGCCAATAGCCCAGACACCTTCTTCGTGCCAAATATATATATTCTGCACGAGTATTGTGTCTTCTTTCGTCTTCAGGGAGTCTCGGGACGCTACACCCACTTGTCAAGATACTCGATTTCATAGTTCAAACTCTTCTGGCTAACCTACCAGTAAATTTTAGAGACTTTTAGCTTTCCTTTCACAAGAGGCTACCAAATCTTAGTAAAGGAAAAATTATTTACAAAGACATTACTAATTTAATGCTTCTAATCTTACCCAGGGATGGTTATTTATGCTGATTGTTGCATCCTAAAATTGGTTGTTTAAATTGTCGATACCTGGATGACTCGTTCTTGCGGTAACAACGAATGGAATATATTTAGCACTAAAAAAGTGACGATTGCAAGCATTTTGATTCACTAATTCAGTGAGATAACATTCCCATTTTAATGGATTTTATTTGCTACCTAGAGCAATGAAAAGCTAAATCGCTATAATTTATCCCATGCTAGTCAGTCAATGATATTAACTGGTGATAGATAAGGACCCAACATTAACTTTGACTCGAAATGCACATATTTGTGTTTTGAGAATAAATCTCACCTTTAGTCATCAATGACAACTTAATCTCATGTTACACTTAAGAAACTAGACTATTTCCATGTGCTGCCTACAAAATAACCCCACATTGGAGATTGCTGCATAACTTACAGGCAATATCTTTATTGTGGAGGGTAATGCATTGCATGACTTAAGCTTCTGAGTAGAAGTAAAGGGCTTCCAAAGACAAATTTGCTAGAAGTGCTTGCAACCCCCTGATATCTCACTCCTTTTTCAATATTCAAGGCGTTCATTTCCCGAACCTAAAATTGCAGCAGTCTTGGCAATTCCAGCATGCATGAATCACATGCATTAGAAGTTTTGTTTTCTCCATTCTCATCAATTGGCTGCTCTCAGTGGAGCCTTAGCAGAATCCTGCATTGTAGTGCACAACGGGAAATGCTATGCAAATGTTGGATTTGCAGCACGTTTATGTTGGGTGAAATAAAACATAGGTTGTACTGATGACTGTGAATATGAGCATGCAAGTGTATTGTGCAGCCTAAAATATGCAGGATATATGTACTATTTGTTTGTACGTGTATCAACAACACATCCCCTGACGGTGCATTAAGGCAGTGTAAAAATTTCGTGAAAGGGCCACTGTTAATCCACATCCATTCAAGCATAGCCCATCGGTAGGCGCAGGGAGGCTGATGCATCCATGTTTGCTGAACGAGTAGATAGATGAGTGGATGCATAAGTAGATGGAAGGATAAGTTTGCAGACTGCTCAGTGGATGAAAACAAAGATGCGTCAATTCTATTATTAACAGAGCCTCGATGCGCAGTTAGAATAATTGTATAGTTTACCGGATAGGTACTTGAAAGGCCGCAGGACAGGTGCCTTGACCAAAGGAGCATTAATTTTCTGTAAGATTTACAGCATTCACCCCAAATATATAAAATGTTTTTTGTGTTAAAGTAGGTAATAAATTCAACACGTATTTAAACCTCTGCTAAGTCCAGATTACTTTGGATGCTATAAGTGGTTAGGAGAGAATACTGAGCATGGAGAAACTCCAAACTACGGCGGTATTTCTAGCTTGTACATGTTATCCCCATTAAAATCACCTTCTTAATGCTATTCTTTAATCACCCCAATTACATATCAGGCTATCAGTACATAAAAAGCTACGAATGTAGAATTTGCAGTGTTGGTGATAATTTGACTATTCTAGAAGCCACTTAAGGCTAGTTATTCCTGTAGCTAAAATAGCTGCCGGTTCGCGCAGAAAGGATAGCGACAATACAAACCCACACTGTAATGCATCCACTGCAATCTGACATGCATGTCATGTCTAATGACAGCTGCTACTACCACTGCAGTAACAATTGCAGGAAGAACTGGGAATTGAGGTCCCAAATACTCACATCACATAAGAGCCCAATTCCATACATCGAAATGTTATAGATGAGACAAGTACACCTCTAAATAATCAAAGGAATGAATAAAATAGAAGGGAGTTCATAAGGATTAGCGAGGAGGTGTTTAGAAATGATGAAAGTGGTGGATTTAATGCCCTAGTGATAAGGCTGAAAGGAAAAGGGAGAACTGATGCCAGAGTACCCACCAAGAAAAATCTCTGGTTCACGTCCGACCAGCGAGATTAAGCTAAGTCGCTCCGGCTTTTGTATTTAAATGGGTGATTGGCTGGAAATGCTTGAGGCTGCTGGCTCACCCCGCCACATTTCCTTCTCTGCAGTTTATATCAATCCTTCCAAATTCACTCTTCTTTAAAACAGTCAGTGGTTCTCACTATTCCAGTCGCGTCACATCGCGCTGCTTCCCGTAGCACTGCCTTGCAGTAGATGTCGGTCAGTAAATTTGATTGGTGAATGTCACTGAAAGTGGTGGTGGTGTTGATGGTATCTTCTGAAAATACACAAGTGCAATGACACTAATTTTCCAAGAAATATAGCAGCCAGATTTGCGTATACAGGTGCTTGTCCAATTACTTTGATGCACGTCATACGGGTTGGGAATTGCACAAGTAGAACTAAACAGGATAGTGAAGAAGTGAATTCTTCAATTTAGTGAAATAAAAGTGTGTGCAGTGTATGTATGTATGTCCATTTTTTGCAGATAATTAGTTAGACCTGTCAAAGTGAGCACCGAGGATGACTCGCAAGCCGAATGCCAATTGCTACGCTGTTTTGAATTATTTACCCCATTCATTCACGTCACTAACCATCAACCAGTGTACTTTGTTTGAAATACGGCAAAAATGTTCCTAGTTCAGCTGTGGATAAACTATCAAGTTGACAGTAAGATATGCTATTTGCTAACAGGAAATAATATCACAAGATATTCGATTGTAATTTCCGCTTTAGTATGTAGGCATTGTCCTGCATTATTATTATCATAAACAATTCATCCGATATCTTTGACTTGGACAAACCGGTGTCACCACTGACAGTACAGCTAGGGAATGAGTTAAAGTGTCTAAAATGTCAACCTACCAGCCTCATTAGGAACTGCAGTTCCTGTGCTGAGGGCGTATTTGGGATATAACCCCTCAATTTCGAAGCTCGGGTGAATTTGACAATTAGGACTGACGAGAATCGTGTTTCGGAAGTGACATTTTGGCCATTCGTCCTCTCTGTAAATGCATGATTTTCAACAGCCGCTTGCCAAAATCGCATTACGGTCTTGAGGGTAATCTTCATCTCCTAAAATTCCCACATCATTCATTTTAAAGGACGGAATACCAGGCCCTTTTATGGGCTTCCTAAAGCAATCTGTAAGTAGTGGATTTACCATTTTAACATTTAGTGAAATTAAAGGCCGAACTTACAGCTCTGGCGAATCAACATCTCGAAGTGCGACAATATAAAGAAGTTGGCTAGCCTGGAGACTGTGATGTAAATGGCGCCAATAAGCGCCCATCTGGCCAGTGGTGGTGATTGAGACAAGGCGATCAAACACCCACTAGTTTGATATTTTCAAAGACTTAGGTTTGCAGAATGAGTGTGTTGGCTGTGGTAAGAAGGAAGGAGAGGAGCATGCCATGGGTGTGCCGAGAAACAAGGCTCTCAAGATTGTTGATATCAGCGTGTGTGTCAACCCAGACAACGAAGGAAGTGGAGAAGGTCCTCAACTGACCCGCAATCGGCCATATTCCCAATCTGTGGCCGCCACCCAATGTAAGCCTCATGTCGTTCTCGCTCACACCTTTCGCGACAGTATTTCTGGTACAAGGTAGTTTCCACTACTGCCCGCTGGTTCTCGCAGTTCAAAATCACATTCAGTTTGAGATGCCTTGACTGAGTAATTTCTCCATAGTCATTCATTTTGGCATCTAGCATTTGGTATTAAAATGTTAGCAATATATAAATTTTGAGAAATCAGTTAAATAACAAAGACAGAGTATAGATTGTATTGTAAGAGTGTGACTAGCAGATTACTTGATTAATTACCTCAAGAGTTCCATAGGACTCTGTTCCCGAATCACCTTCCATCCATTCTGAACTCTATCCTCTGGTTGACCCCTGTGGAAAGTAAGTACAACGTTGAAGTGAACTTTTGGGTCATTCCTCTTGCACGTTTACATAGAGGTTGGTATGGCCAAAAGTGTGACCGTTTGCGCTGTACCAGGTCATGATTCTACCATCAGTGAAGGAGCTCCTTCCACAGTGGGACATACCACACGCAACAGAGGCGCTGAACGTGAAGCTGAAATATTTTGCCTATGAAGACTTGACATCATCAAAGGGTTTGGGATCACTGTGGTCCAAGACGAATATAGGTGGTATCCAAGCTTAACTAAATCCACGATGGTAAGTAGGATAACCACTCCTAAATGTTTATTAAGCCTTGAATTGAGCATTGAGGAGGAGACTAGGCGGGTAGCCTTACCGCATGCCTGCAACAATTACCATCGTATCCACCTCGAATCCTTAACTTCGTCTAGCCTTCTTACAGTCTTCTACAGGTGCCACTCGTCACTGTCCTCGAGCCATACAACCCGCGTGAGTTGCCGAGACTTCTACATGAAACACGGACAGTAGCAAAACATAGTGAAATTCTAACAACGGAGCAGCTGCTTTAGAGCCCTGAACTAGCATAACTTGTACAATTTAACCGATGACATTTTAAAAGAAATAAGTCAGCAGATTGTTCTAACAGCAAATTCACATCTCAAACATGAAAGCCTTTATATCTTGTCAAGACGTCACGCAAGTTTGAAAGGAGGCAAATCCGCTTCGATCTTATCATTGTTACATGTGAATGTCACATATCTCTACTCCTGTGCTTCATGTGTCAAGTCTCAAGCCACTTCCTATCCATTCGCTTCAAGAAAGTCCTATGTGTATTTTTAAATGTTTTGATTACCATGGCAGAAATGTGGCAGACCAGTTGAAATAGCCTTTCATCTATGGAGCACCATTTGCTATTTCGCAATTTGGCATCCCAGCATGCTTCATTGTAAACTAACCACTCCGTAGACCAATGTCAATGCGGCATTGTTAGTGAATTGTTGCGCACTGCACTACAATGCCTACCTTAGAGCGAAGA